TTGTTGTATTCTTTTTTTTTTTTTTTTTTTTTTGGTTGGATATTTATATAAAAGTTTTGGTTACACCCATGGTTCTTTGTTAATTTCGTAGAATTAACTAACGATTCGTAATTGATTCGTAATGATTGACGAGAGCGGATAAACGGGCATGAGTCAGAGCATCGAGTTTTTTTAACCTTTTGCACTGTTATGTAAGTATGTTTGCTACGATGAAAGCTTTTCAAGCTAATACGAAAATAGAGGATTCCATGTTTTACGCGTTGGAAGTGCAAATATTACTATTTTGTTTGGAAAGCTTTTTCAAAAGGATGGAATTTTATATAGAAAGAGAAACGAAATATTTTGAAATAATTGTCAAATATAATTGTAAAATTTATTAATTTATCCACCTTTGATCCAAATTATTAATTTCATCGAATACTTCCAATCCTCTTCTTTTACAAAATCAATCGCTCCCCTAGTTAATACCGCGCTAATAATCGCACTTTTATCACTTTCGTTTCGCCAATATTTTCTCTGCGGTCGATAAAATAGTTGCGCTTTGCTCGTCCAATAATTAAACAACCGTAAACACATCGTCGTCCCGCGGAATATCGTTCAAGATCCGAACGACTCTCCACCAGTGATCCCCCGCGTTCCATTTTTCCCCTCCTCTTTGTCGATAGACTCTCCTCCTGAATGTTTAAACGCGCTATTAACGATCGATGCCAGAAATCGAACGATCCAATGTACAGTGCGTATCTAGCAAAAGAGAGAGAAAGAGGAAGGTAGGAGAAAAATCGATGGAGGACGGAATGGAGACGTTTCTGTACGGGGTTAAAGATGAGGAAGCTAACGAAACAACCGCAAGATGTCTATTTCATTTATTCATCGGCCGTGGTTCTACGATTATCGGTTTGCTGCTTCTTTCCAGTTTATAAAAGAAGGAAGGAAACCGTGCGTGTGTGTGCCTATCTGCCGCATCGAGTGTGTACACAGCGATTCATAAATGTGTATTCTTCGAGAGGTGAACGTACATCGTGTAATCTGGAAAATTTGTGTCATTTCTTTTTCAGGCTTATCCATATTGGATTAACGTGAATTTGTATAAATTAATTTTCTTCGTTGATGTGTACGTCTTACTATTCCTTTAAATTATTTGAAAAAAATTAAGAACTCGAACAAATTTTTTCCACTTATTTTTCGCGTTATTTCAAATTATCCCTCCACCCGTTACATCATCTCGTCGAAAAATTTGCCTATGGAAGGGAAACGATGGCAAACACGTATGACGAATCTCTCAATTACGGAGAGACACGCACACACAAACCACATTTTCATTTATCGTATTCCCATATTTCAACGTGTATACTCTCTCTCTCTCTATATATATATATATATATATATATATATTGTTCACGCTGGAAAGAAGCTCGCAGGACGGGCAAGAAATGTCCTTCGCTAGGACCGTGTATCTCCACTTCAAATGTTTTGTTGACAATTCTGACACCATACGTTACGCATACTGGTAATAGAAGAGCTATAATTTGAATATTCAAAATTGTAAAAATAGTTAGGATAATCATTTAAGACTGAAATATTTTCGAAACTATTAATTATTTCGACATATATATATTCGTATATAATTATTCGAATACAGAATTAATAACTTTATAAATTAAAGTATCGTTACAAATCAGTCTATGAATATTGATGAGAAATAAAAAGTTAAAATTCTATGTCTACACTAATATATATGAAGGTTTAGATACAAATTGATCGTTTTGAATTACGTGTGAAAAATAAACGTTTCTTTCCAAATTAACCAATCAGATTCCTTCTGCAAGACTTTTTCCCACCAGTATATTGTTCACTGCTGAAAAAAAGTCATAGACAGCACAGAGGAGTCCTTCGCTAGGACCGCTTATCTCCACTTCAGACGGTTTGTTGACAATCCTGATACACACGCCACGTAAAAGAGCTATAATATAACTAATATAATATAACTCGAATAGAAAATTACATTTATAAATTAAACTATCGTTACAAATCGTAATTAGCCTAAACGTATTGATGAGAAATAAAAAATCTAATGCATCGAAATTTAGATACAGACCGATCGTTTTGGATTAGTATATGTAACAAATACTACGCTACAAAGAAAAATGCTTGTGAAAATAGGTGTTTCCTTTCAACGAATCAGGTTCCTTCTACGAGACTTCTTTCCACTACATTGAACAGTGACCAGTTATGAATCACCCTATACACGTATATATACACGTTCTCTAACGTCGTGTAACCGCTAACAAGGCTCTTCTATTTATAACGGCGTTATGCTTTCGCTTCGAGAGCAGCTCGCCTGTTTTCCGATTTTCTCCGCAACCAGGGCCTGCACGGCCTCGGCTGGAACTGCACAACGATGCCCGTCGATCCGAGAATAGAGTCGTCTAGCCTTCCCTCCCCCTCCAATCAATTTCTCGCTCCCTCTCCCACTCCCTTCCTATAGAATTATACCAAGGAATAATCGGTGCGATATCGGTGTCGATGCCTTCCAAAACTGGAAGATGAATAACCATTGGACCCTCTTGGCTCTCCTCTCTTCCTCTTCCTCTTCCTCATAGGATAGATAGTTTATTGGCACGGTTCCATATCCCTCTGTAACGCTCACAGTTGTCTGGGTCATTCTCGATCCAGTAGATTTAAGGGTCCATACACCTTTTCTCCACTTATTCACGGGTTAAGAACCTAGTAAGGAACGTTAGATAAGCTTGTATGTGCTGCATGTATATATCGATTGATCGCGTTGGATTAATTGTTTCGTGTCGTACAAAAAAAAAAATGAAAAAGGAAGATGAAAAACAAAATAGACAAGACACAGATCTAGACAAATGTAATATCGATCGATCGTTGGATTAATTGTTCCGTGTCGTAGGAAGAAGAAGAAAAAAAAAGAAAACAAAATAGGCAAGACACAAAGGACGAGTTTAACCGGGTCTAGACAAATGTAACCGAAAGAGGAGGGCGCGGAGCGTTGAGGTAATCCCTTTGAACTTCGTCGATGGAAAGAACAGGCGGTTCGCAAACATGGCCGAACATCGATTCGTTGTCGGTGGCGTGTCGGTGACCGTCGTCGTCCACGTGTCAAACGGAGCGTGTCGAAATCGCGTTCGAGAGAGAGGTTAGATCAGTGCAAAGTGGTAAGTTGGAGAGAAAGAAAATTGTGACAACGAAAAATAGAAAGGAATTCTATTCGAAATTTAAATCTCGTTTCAGATCTCTTTATCGATCGATTTACGAATCGCTTTGACCGCGTTCGTCGAAACTCCCCTATTCGAGACTAGCGTGATAAATCGGAGGATTTGTATAATTCATTGGCGAGCAGAGAGGAAAGTTTGGAGAAGTGGACAGGCGAATTCTATAGCTCGGCTTCAGGCCAAATTCTCCAACTTTATAGATATTATTACAAAGGATCGCGACGACCATCTTCCTTATTTTCTTCCAATCCTTTCTTCCCCCCCCCAATTTTTCGTCTCCATCGATCCGATCATTTTCGATCGGAAACGAGAGACTTGTCGAGAAAATTTTCGATGATTCGGAAAAAAAAAAAAAAGAGACTTCGTTTACTCGAACTGCTCCCCGCTAACGATCGACTCGTTAGATTGGAACGAGACGAGGGAGATCACGATTTTGTGAATCGAGGTGATATATTTATAATATATCGCGAATGGATCATTGGGAAAATTTTCATTTAAAAAGAAACGTTAACGTTATTGGATAAAGCTATTCGTGAAAAAATTCTTAGCTCTTGCTTTTTTCCTCTTTTTCCTTCCCCTCGAACTATACATTCAGAAGATCGAGAAAAGAAAATTCATCATCGATCGAACAAATCTTTTGAAAAGAATACGAGGTTTCGACAAGTGTATAATTACTTTGCTCAATTTCGCAGACTGAAAATCGAAGAACGAAGATTTTCACCGTTCTCTCAATCGATAATATTCGTCATCCATGGAGAACTTACCATTAGATTGTTCTAGACGTATGCGGCGCGCGCGCGCGCGCGTGTGTGTACGCGCGTAGCGTGTATTTAACACGTTTCAAACATGAGACCCTCGAGACTCGGTTGCTAATTGGCTCAGCGTATCAACGACCTTTCTTACTTACTCCTTCTTTTCTTCTCTCTTCCTTACGAAGCAACGGCGAGCTTGAACTAAGTTTTTTAACGGATTAACTCGTTTCCCAGTACGCCCCATCGAAACGACCGATAGATTCTGTTCAATGTTTTCAACTTCAGAGGAAAACATCGTTTTATTTATTACAAACTTACGTTACGTGCAACGTATTTTTATTCCTTCGATAATAATTCGAATTGTGCGCGGAAAGAGATTTTTTTTATTTAAAATTCAACAAAGGACGTTTAACGAAAATAATAAATTTCGAATTTTTAAGGTGTCTTCTTCATTTTTCCTCAATGATTTCAACGACTTTGAAAATTTACAAAGAAAAACTTCGAAAATCGTGATTATAAATTTTTTGCAAATATTTTCCTCGCGAGTCCGTTATATTTTTCCATTAATTGGAAAATATATAACGATACATGGTAATAATACGGAGAGCCAATCGTGCGCCGACCTTTCTTTCAAAATTTAATTCGTGTCAATTGGTTGACGATGGAACGACTCGATAAATTAATTCTCAAGGTTTCGAATATTTTTCTTTTCTTTTCTTTTTTTTTTTTTTTTTTACTAATGTTTTTTTCTTTGACGGATAACCTCGCTTAATCTCACCCCCGCATTTCATTTCAAAGAGAAACGACAGTCTTCGCGAACATCAAGGATATCGTCGTGTCCTCGAATCGAATGGAACAAAGGATCGAATAAACCGAACGCGCCTTGAACGACCGAGTGTTATGTGTGATTCGCGGTTTGCAACTTGTTGACACTCGGATGGTAAAGAGGTTGTTCGTAAATTTCCTCCTCTTTTTTTAACATTTTTCGAGACTTTCGATTTCAAGAGAGGCAAATTTGAGAGTCTAACGAAATTTTTGAAAACTTCTCACGTTTCAAAATTCATAAATGTCTTTTACAAAATGCTTTTTAAAAAGAAACATAACGAGATAAATGGCTGTGCATATATATATATCGAAATCAAGATCTTTTTCGTATTTCATATTGGGAAAAATTTACGGCGCACGCGGTAATTACCCATCGTAAAATATAGCCGTGTAATAAAGTTAGAACATCGCGCGAATATTCGAAGGACGGACGGTTTTACGAGAGGCGAGAAGTGAAACGAGGATACGGGGTAATAAGGCCGCGGCGAAAAACATGGAGAGAAGAATTTGATGGAAAATTGGTGGCGCGACGCGGTCGAGCACGCCCGATCACGTATGACAAGTGGCCCTCAATGTCGGCACATCCTGCACCACGTGAGCGCCTGTTAATCGATACGTCCTTCGCTTAAACGCTGATTAGCGTCTTCGACACCGGCCGTGATTCGCAATCGCAACTTGGCCGGCAATAGATCGTCGGTGTTGAAACGCGAGGTTGGAATCGACAGCATTCCTATCTTAAATATACTCTCGATTTTCTTAAATAATACGTGATCACGTTTCTTTTTCCAAGAGAGCGGGAAGGAGAAGGAGGAGATTGAGAGGGATCGAGGAATAAAGGATCGTTGTTTTTGCAGCATCATCGAGGGCTGAGCTATCGAAAAATATGGCGTCAGGAATACCGAGCGTTCATCAGAGGAAGCTTGGACCAGCGCCGATAGCATCCTTCGAAGACCTGTCCGACGAGGTGGAAAACGTGAGTCCTTCCCTGTGTCCTCCCCGAGCCTCCTCACTTCTAAGTCGGCTGTATCCGAGCGGGACGGAAGTGTGCGCGTAAAGATCGTTCAAGATCTCGCCAAGATCACGCGCGTTCCCCCTTCCAAAGTCGAAAAATCTCCGCGTGTCCCCGTGAGACAGGGGCGACACCTGTGCGTTGTCCGTCACCAACCAACCAACCAATCAACCAACCAACCAACCAACCAACCAACCAATCATCACACCCCAGTGACTGTGACTCGACACGACAAAACCAGCCTTACGAATTTGAATGCAGGGGGAACCGGCTGCGCGAATGCCAGGCATCGTCGAGGTCACCACGCCGGCAACGCCTGGTAGTTCGCTTAAGACACCCAGCACGCCGAGAATTGACATCAGCAGGGCGAGCAGTTCCTCCCACCATGAGGACAGTAACTCCAGGGATTCCACGCCCGAGAGGGAACTCCTCGCAGGTATTCTTCTGAACAGCGTCAAAAGCTTTTGTCAAACGACAACCATTGTTTCTCCTTTTTCTTCCTGCGTTCGTGTGTAACGAGCATTGTTCCGATGGAAGAAACGATTAACGAAATGTGAGAGGGACGCGTTCGCGTGATACTAAAAAGGGAATTCGATTGAACGTGATATCGAAATCGTGGATGGGGACAGCGAGTTAATATTGCGGAGATGGTTACTCGAATAAATTTTATCGTTCGAAACATCGAATATGATCGAAGAGAGATATAATTTTATTCGATGTTTTATTACTAATTAACTTTTCAGCCCGTTTTGATAAACTATGAATACATATCGATATTTGAACGATATTTAAAACGCTCGAATAAATCATTTATTCGTATAGTTGATCGCCGTACAACCATTATAATTATTCTTTGAGAAATAAATTGATTCATGAAACTTTATTCTTGGCCTCACCATCTCTGTTTAATCTATCGACCCAGTATCGTATATTTATTTAATTTATCAGAGAGACTTTGTATATTTTCCTATCCTCCCGTGGACGAATATTTTATTATTATTATTTTATTATTCGCCATTTTATATACAGTTTCGTTTGTTGTCGGTAACGTCGTCCACGAAAATTAGCGCGAAACTTCGGACCGTATCGGTATTCGATTTATCCTTTTTACACGTATCTCAGCGCCATCGTGTCAAGTTTCTGAAACGACCAATATTCGCGCGCATCGTAAAGATGGACGGGGTCACGCGAATAGCACGACATCCTCGAGTTGCCACCCCCTGCTAACGAAGCACGGGGACGATAATATCGCGAGTGACTCATTGCCAACGAGTTAGGGTTATTTGAGTTTCGAATTAACAATTGGATCTGACTCATCCACCGATTCAGAGCCCTTGTGTTACGAGAGACACCGCGGGGAAGAAAGAAGAAGTTTCCACGTGGGAGGGAAATTGGAAGTTAAATCGTTTCTACGAGGGGAAATTGAATTTTCCACGGTCGCGAGAAACGTATGACGAGATCCAATTATATCGCCGGATAGTGTTTCGTTAGTTCTTGCAGTTTCTATCTATGTCGCGTGCAAATTTTCGAACGGCGAACACCTCGTCGATGTGACAAATTACCGTGCTTTTATAACTCAACCATCTGGCAGAAAGTATTCGATCGTAGTATAGAGATCAATAGATTTTTCGATATACTTCGATGTCTATCGCTTATTTCCGTATCGATTTCGATAAAATTTTCAGCGTGTGACATACAAGTGAGATAGATCGTGACAAAACGTATCGTTTAATTTTTCAGGATAAAAGAAAAGTTTGTAAAAAAGGTTTGTTTATTTTCTTCGTCTTTTTTCCTCTATCTGGTAAAGTAATCCTTCCAAGTTTTCCAAAAAGAAAACTCGACTCGTTTGATCAATTGAATTTTAAGAAAGTTATTCTATCTTAAAGGAATACTTTTTGCCAATATTTTCTTTTCCTTTTCTTTTCTCGTGGAGTTAAAAGAGAAATAATCCATCAAAACGCGTACTCTCTTCGATTTCATAGTTGAGTGGAGACGTTCTTTAGTTTACCTTTCCGCGTATAATTTACCTTTCGAGTTAAAAGTACAGAGAGTATGCAGTTGTAGCAAACCTCTACACACGTGTGCATTTGATGGAATCTATCGTAAGCGTACAACTTTGATCATATTCAAACAAATTTTAGGATGTAGCATAGAAGAAGGATTATTAAAATATCAATCATGCGTATTACGAGTGTTTCGTAACGTGTTGAATAGCAAAACCTAAATCTTTCCTTCCTTTCGATTAGTTGATTAGTAGCTTAAATTAGAAATATCATCGAATTGTAGAAAGATCGTAGATGTGACTCGTATCGATTCGAGAAACGAAACGATTCTCTCTTTCGTCTATGGTGATTAAATTAGATCTCATATCTATTAGAAATATCATCGAGATTTTGTAAGAAGATCGTATCGTATCGATTCTTCTTTTTCGATATAACGATTAACTTAATTTATATCCACCATTAGAAATATAATCGAATCGTGGATGTGACTCGTATCGATTCGAAAAACGATTCTCCTAGACCCTTTTTCGATATAGCTTACCGTAGCTCGAAACCGTTAGAAATATCATCGAATCGTAGATGTCACTCGTGTCGAGAAACGAAACGACGATTCTGCTGTTTCGACGTAGTGATTAGTTTACAGTAGCTCGAATCCATTAAAAATATCATCGAATCGTGAAAAAATCATACATGTGACTCGTATCGATTCGTGGACGATTCTCCTGGACTGGCATAGAAGAAGAAGGTTACCACGAGGCTGGGTCACGATCGATCCGAGAAGAGAACAGAATACGATGTGTTGTTCACCGTGTTGTTTCTAAATGCTCCCTCGAGAGATAACGCGAGCCGTGTTTCTGCTTGCGCGCCACGAATTAATACGCATATACATTACGGAGAGGTCTCCACTGCAAGTTTGTCCTATATTCGAGGGGGGGCCTTTGTCGCGAGCATACTCGATTCAAAAAGCGACACGATTCTCGATTGCCTCGTGAATCTTCTCCCTTTTTCCGTCATTCGTTGCATTTTTCTCGCTGATCTAACGCGATAACGAGTTCATCGGATTCGATCTTTTTACAGTTTTAACGGGCGATCGTTTTCCTTTTTAGATTCAAATTAACGTTGATTTCAAAATGCGAGATTTGTTTCAAAGTTATGTTCGTTTAATGGAAGTTTAATAATTTGATTTTCATTTATTACCGCATGTCAATAATTTTTAGGTTATATTAACTGCGATGCTTGTGCACAAAATAATTTAGAGATGATTTGTTAATGCGATAATATGGCAAATGATTTAATGAGGGGAAGAATTAATAGGAAAATTGGAGAAAATGATTCGAAGAAATCAAAGAGCGATATGCATCAATGCATGGTAAAAATTCATTCGATATTTGAGCACGATATCAAAGATCGAAATTCACGTAGATAAACAACATTTTCAGAAATAATTGGATCTTTTTTTTTTTTCTTTTTTATTTGTAAACAGATCTTACCTCGAGCTTTTTTTTAATAAAAATATACGTTATCGTAAATTTCAATTCACGTGGGAAAGAAAACGAGACGAATCTTATGCCAGTCCAACGATTCTGCGTTTTTATTACTTTCGAAGTTTGCCAATTAAACAGTACCAGGTTGAATGTAGAGACCCGTTTTTATACTCTACTTGAGTTTTCGTTTAAAAGTAAAAAGTAAGTAGCGTATCCGTAACTAGAATTCCGCCTTTATAACCTCTTCGGGAACAATTGACATGTCATATACCTTTGATTTTCTGATCAAATTGATATTGTTCTGAGACAAAAGACAAAAACCTGTCTTCACTTTTCGCGGAATCTTTTAATAATAGAAACAAAGTAAAAATAACACGCAAATAATATTAATATTTTACCTTACTTTCATCTTGCTTTTGTACACTCTTACCCGAGGAGGTTATCAACCGTGGCCTTGTTGAGAAAGGAAATGGGATAGAAATTATTGTCAGTAGAAATTTAGATCCTTTATCGATCCTTCTCTCGATAATTAATAACAACGAAACGAATTGACCAGGCGGAGAGCCTCCACCCGGATGTAAGCTGACTCTGGGCTACAAGGAGGACGCCCAGGATCTGAGATCGTCGACGGAGGAGCTCGACCTGCAGGATCCGATCCACGAGCAAGATCTGAAGAGGGAATCGAAGAAACTGGCCAAGAGGCGGAAGGAGGATGGTTCTCTGTCCGACTACAGCGGAAAACAATTGGACAGAGAGCGTAAGGACAGCAATTGCTCGGAGATCGTTCTGTTGAACATCAGCGGCAGAACGTCCAGGCTCTCCTCGGTCGGCAGCCAAGGTTCAGGGGCGTCCGGCAAGCTTTCCGTCGTGTCGGCCACGTCGTCCAGGTAATCAATTCGATCTCGTCCATCCAATGAGACAAATATATATACAGGGTGTTCCAAAAATTCCTCTAAATCCCTAATTTCAAAAAAACATTTCTTAATCATCAAGAAGGCGTTATGCGTTATTCTCGAGTACACAACTCGCACATTTTTTTGGCACACTCTGGAAATTTAACTTAGCTAACGTCACCCGTGACGCCGCCGCCAGGTCACCGAGCCCGCATAAATGCCTGCTCGAGACGTCGTTCTGCGGGAGCAAGCCGACCCTGGCCGATAACCTGATAGAGCCGTCGAAGCCGGAGACCGACGACCTGGAGAAGATCCTGTTGAAACGGGAGGCGGACACCACGAAAGCGTTGATCCCCGAGAGCATAAAGGTGTCGATGGTGGATGGAAATTTGAAGCCTGACCCCTTGGACAAGCCGAGGAGGCGGGGCCGGGAGGAGAGGAAGGAGATATTTAAAAGAGAGGTTGAAATTACGAAGAGATTTCTCGAGAAGGTCAATATACAGGTACGCCCCTCTCTCTCATCATGTCGTACATCTCGCCGAGCGTTTCTCTCACGCGTGTCCTCTCCTTCAAGGTGCCGGTGGCGAAGAAGTCGGGCGAAGGTGCGACGACGACAAGCGAGCAGCAAGAGGTGCAGAAGCCGGCCAGTTTGGACTTCAACGACAAGAGGAAGAAGGCGCAAAACTTCAAGGAGATCGTGCAAACGACCCCGACGACGAGCAGCGCGACAGGTAGCCCCAAGTTGCCGAGGCATCAGAAGGTCCGTGACCTCGAGGGGTCACGTACACCGAGCCCGTCCTCCGTCTCAAGGAAGAGCAGCTTCACCTCCCTGTTCAAGGTAACGAGCCCTCGCTAACCTGGACAAGTGTGCTGCTACAACACCAGCGTGACAACAATATATATATATAATTTATAGATAAGCAAAAAAAACCATATATGTAGAAATATTAGGCATGTAACGCTCCCGTCGATTCCACAAACATGGATACCACGCCTGGCTTTGTCTCTTTGTAGAAGATCCGCTAGCTTAGTCGAGAGAAGAAATCTCGAACAAACAGACGCATGTAAAACTTGACCACCGCGTGTTCAACTTTTAAGGCACGCACAGACAGCAGTGTGTTGAGCCCAGAGTCGCCGTCGCCCAGCACCAACAAGCCCCGCCGTAGCCTGACCTCGAAGATCAAGGACACGACGGAGAGTCTGCGCGGCAGGTCCAAGTCGAGGGACCGGGTGACCCCCGGTTCCGAGAAAGCGTGCTTGAGAAAGGACTCGAAGAACAGGGGCGTGTTCTCGTCCACGTTGAGCCTGTTCAAGAAACGCGAGCGGAAGAAGAGTTACGACGAGGCGATCGCCGCCTCCGCCTCCACCCCGACCGAGCTCGTCGGCGAGCTCCACCCGTCCTCCCTCGAGAGCATCGGCCACGTCGAGTTCCGGTTCAACGCGGAGAAGGAGAGGCGCAGGGACGACTCGATCTTCATAAGCTTGCACGCCGACGACAGGAACTACGAGGAGGCCCTCCCCTCGGAGAGCGTCTCGATACCCCTGGAGACGCCCACGAAATTGTTGGACGAGTACGAGTCGGAGCCGCGGGCGGGAGGAAGCATCGTGACCGAGGTGTCGATCGAGCATTATCCAGCTCCCCCCTCGATAAGGATAAAGACCGAGGCGCTGATCGAGACCGGCTCGTCGAGGGATGGCGGCGTGCAGGTACCGAGGAGCGGCTCGAGGGAGTCCGAGATATCGGGCAGCTCGTCGAAGGAGTCGAAACTGAGCGGGAAAGGTGGCGATCTGGCTGGAGCCAGGTCCGTGGAGGGGAGACCTGCTGCGGAGCACCGGTTGTCCAGCAGCTCGTCCAAAGACTCGGTGGTCGGTAAGAGGGACGCGACGAAGCCGAGGAGGAGGAGCAAAGAGGCCCAACAACCGGCCGAGCAATCGAGGAGGGACGAGGAGAGGCAAACGAGGGAACAACAGGAGGAGGAGGTTGGAAACGCGGTGGAGAGCAAGAGGGTTGTGATGGACCTGTTGGGCGAGGGGGTCGGGGATCAAGAGCTGGTGAAAACGCCGAGCGTGATCTCGGACCTGGATCGCAACAGCTCCGAGTCGGAGAGGGACTCGGAGATCGAGTTTATCAGGAACAAGGTGGAGAAGCTTGCCGAGGAGCTGCCCGACGAGAGGAAAGGCCTGTTCTACGAGGAGAGTTTCGAGGAGGATCTCCCCTATGTCCCGACCACCCTGCCCCTCGAGAAAAGCGTGGCAGTGCCGATCCTGCCTGTGAAACAACGACTTCAGGAAGTAAGGTAACCGTTGCGATAAATTGTAATCCCCTTATTCTTCTTCTTCTTCTTCTCCTCCTCGACGAAGAAAGATGATTGATGCGAGATTGATGGTCGCCTTTAGAACGATACCGATCGAGAGGCCGCGTTCCACCACACCGATAAACCCGACGCTGCTCGACGAGTTCGTGATGCAGACGTCTCTGGACGAGCGCCGCGTGGAGAAAATGAAGATATCGCTGCCCCGGGAGGAGAGTTTCAAGCTGAAGAGCCCGAGGAAGCACGCGGCGGCCAACACGTTCATGGAGTTCGCCGGCAAGGTGCCCGACGGGGGGCGGAAAGCCGCGGGCAAGTCGCCGAGTCCTCCTCCACTGCCACCTAGGGCCACGGCCAGGCCGAGCAATTGGATCAATTTCGAGGAGATACCGGAGAAGAGGAAAGCGCCGAAAAGGATTCAAACGATCCCTCGGCCCGAAGACGAGGTGAAATCGGGTGGATACAGTTACGTGCAACCGGAGGAATGTAGGTACGCTTCTTGTGATAAAAAGCGTATCGAACTTACTTACTTACTTACTTACTTACTCGCTCGCTAGCTACCTGAAATTCGATCGAATAAAATTGAAATAATACCCGATGAAACAGGTGCGAGTGCCACGAAGAGTCTCGACGAGCGTCGATGAAGGAGGCGACCGCGACGAGGGCGTCGTCCTCGTGCAGCAGCAACGGGGAGCGCGCTTGCAACGGTGACAATTGTACGGTGCCTACGTCAACGTCCCTGGATCGTGCCAGTATCGTCAGGTAAACACGCCCGGGTACGATTATCGATCAAAGTCGAATCGGTGTGAATAGAACAATCGTCGAAGACGCTAGTGATGAGTAGAGGTTTGTTTTTGTACTTTCAGTGACAGCTCGCTGGAGTGTAGCCTGAGCATCGAGGAGAACAACGCGACGCAACCGTTATCGGCGAAGCCGTTCAGCATGGATTTGGACGTTAGGTCGAATCGGTCCAGTATCGTGTCCCAGGACGAGACTGACGAGATCCTGCACCAACAATAGTTTACTCGCGGCACGCCTCGCCTTATTATACCCTCTTGTTAATCGGAACAATGATTCTCTCCTTGTTGGTGGAACTGTCCTCGATCCTCGAGTTCTCGTTGCACCCGAGGCCCGAATCTCAAAACCAAGTGGATCGTCGAAACTGGATAACGAATCGACTCTGCTCTCGCTCTCCTCTCTCTCTCTTTCTCTGCTCTTGTTTTCCATCTCTCTAGAAACCGTGTCACGATTGGATTCTCCTCAGTCTGTATGTCAATTTCAATAGCAAAGTTTAATAGCATTGCTGCGACATTTTGTACGCAGTTATGTTTGTTGCGTCTAATTAAAGACAGAGTAATTCGTTATTCGGCGAAATAAGTATCGTGTTGAGCGCGTTCGGAATAGAGTTCTCTTATCATATAACCGAGATATCCGAGTGTTCGAAATGCTCGTTAATAACTCCACGATTTTCTTTCACGATTTTCCTTGAATGAAACTTTCAATTCAAATTGAAGAGACCAAATTGTTAAATGGATATTCACAGCCAAAGTTTTAAAATTAAAAATCGAATTCGGATGCTCGGCTTATTAGATTATATATCGAACGATAATAAGAGCTCTGGTATTAGAAGAGTATTATATCTATATTGCGTAATCGTTCCGATTTTCCTCGACTTTTCTCGTCGTTGTCTACGAGCCTGTCCTCCTTGTTTGTATCAGCCAGTTATCGAACATCGAACGTCAATGCTACTTTTTATCGCGCTTTATCGTGGCCGATTTTACGAAAAAAAAAAAAGAAAAAAGAAAGAAACGCGCGAACATGTCACGAACGCGAGCACACACACACACACACACATTTGTACATACCCCTGTAACGATCTCGAGAACATTTTAGTCTAAGGGCGTAACTTCCACGAGAACTCGTTCGTTCCTTCGTTACTAGTTCCCTCGTCGCGCATCAACCCTTAAAATGCGAAGAAAAACGATGCTTTGCGCGCGTGTTGACCAAAAAAATTGCTTCCTTACGAGAACGTAAGCGCGGGAGATCGAATCGCGGACGATGATTCGTGAGAGAGGATCAATCCTCGGTTTTTCGAAGTCGAGGTTCTTCATCGAATGTCGACGCTTTACGCTAGAAAAAGAGAGAAAAGTTAGTAGATAGTTTATTAACGATCGCGTTTAGATCGTCTTGAAAGTATATGATAATAGCGAATAATGCGTTCAAGTATTTTTGCGACCAATTGTAGACAGGACCTCGAAGCCCGAAATAATATGTGTGTTCTCGATCGTATCATTGGCAAACTTCGTCGCAGCGAGCTCCTTCCGTTTCCAGATCGATAAAGGGAATACGTTATTTTGTCTGATGTAAAAAAAAAAAAAAGAAAGAAAGAAAGAAAGGAGCGTGTCACGAAGAGAGCTTACTTTCGATACTTTCTTCATATCATGTAGAGAAATTTAGATCTCTAAGTGCCACGAATATAGAGAATCATAGAAAATTAGAGAAATTTGTAAGAATGATTGTTACGTTGAATCAATCGATTTTCGCGTGTAACACGTGTTCTATATAAAATAGAGTTAATCTAGCGTGTATCTACGCGAAAATCGGCGAATATACGAAAATTTCATTGGACGCGTGTGATGCGCATCGTCGAAAGATCAGTATTATACGCGTGGATAATTGTGATTGCGTGTATGCGTGCATATCATTCCATACCATTGTTCGTAAAATTAATTCTCATTTTTCCTCGGATTCACCGCAATTTATTATCGAGCTTCGAATTCCGAAAATGTGGGTGTTGTCCACGGTTATCGTTCACGAAAGAAAAAAATGGCAACGATCTCCCAGAATATTGAGCCGACGAGTAAGAATAGCGAAGATATCGACGCTTACAATCACGACAAAAAAATCAAACGACCATAACCGACAGAATCGATCCGATTGCGTTTCAAATGCTTCGTCTCGCGTCGCTGGAATAACGATCATCCTTTATTTCGAGTCTGAAAGGATGTGATAGGTTATCCGATAGGTTATATTGTTTTGTAATTATTCACGCGATAAATTTCGATCGCTTAGGCTTCCCCTAAATCGAAAAGTTTCCTTTCATCGTTCGATAAATTCTTTTTTGCTCGAATGCTTCGTCTAAATTACTTTTACTTTTTCCAAAATCAAGTTTGCATTTTTTTCGGAAGCGTCAAATATCGGAGAGTAAGTGTCGGAAAGATTCTGTGAAAGTCAAATCGAAAAGTACAAGATAAGATAGAGATAATTGCAATTGTTGTTCGATTCTCGTTAATTGATAAGGAAGAATCTTATCGATCGATCGCAATGTATCATAATTTAGCGTGAATCAACGATTCGAGAGTGAGAACGATGATCAGAAAATGAAAAGATGAGAGAAGAGAGTTTTAACTTTTTTTTTTTTTTTTTTTCTCTCGTTACTCGATGATTAATTAAATCATCGGCAAGAATCAATTAGCTAGACTGATCGAATTAAATTATTATATCGATTATATTTATATATATTATATTAATCGATAAATCGAATTAGCGATAATATCAGAGATCGATGAACCGCTTTTATATCGCTTCTTCCGTTTTAATGGAAGGGAAAAAGAGATGGGGAAAAAGAATGTAAAAGTTGTTGAAGAAAAAGATTCTTGTGAAAAACATTTTCCCTTCGGTATTCTTTAGCAATACACATCACTATTTATAATTATACTTTTTAAAATATGTTCAACGATAAGCGGAAATGTTAATCGAAATAATTCGATGTTTCTAAAATTATGTAAATAATGAATTAGAAAAAAAATGCATATCGCGTAACGTGAGAATAAAATCAAACGAAATGAAAAGGAAATAAATTAAGAGAGGAAAGAATGAGTGAGGAAGGAAGCGAAAGCAGACGGAGAAAGAGAATAAAAAAGGTATTTGCGTTTTAATGTAGCTCAATCATTTCAAATACGCTCTCCTTTTTTTTCTTTTTTTTTTTTTCTTTTTTTTTTTTTTATTTTTTTAATCTTCTTAGGTAACAATATGCTCTCTCGCCGTCAAAAAGTTGCCCTGGCTCGTAGTCGCGTATCAGAAATTAAGGAATGAATCTGTGGCAAGGAATCGTCCACGAGTCGAGAAACAAATTTTTTGATATTAATCGTGGAAATTTGAGGGAATATTCGACAAAGGGAACACGCGTCTTCCAACATAACCTCTTTGACGAACAGTTCTCGACACGATCGACTCCAGTGACGCGAAACATTTCGACGTTTTTCGCTTCTAATATCGATAAAGAAAAATCTGTGTTCGAAGGCTTCGAGGCCGATCTCAAAGGATTTTTTATTATTATTATTATTATTATTATCTTCGAACTTATTGAAAAAAAAAAATACGTCAAAATACGTTTAGATGGTTCGGAGGGCTATCAAAAAATTCGATCGAGTTTCCCTTTTGAACAATTGAAACCGATGATTGTCGTTATAATATCTATCATCGTGATCGTGAACATATCCCACGATGATGAAGAAAATGAGAAAAAAAATGAGACAAAGGGGAACACGATCGATATTTTGTTGTTAATGCACGAAATTTAAAAATACTCCTCCACTGCGATAACTATTATACATATACTGTTTTCTCTGGGCGCGAGAAAAGATTGAGGAAGAAAAAAAAAAAAAAAAAATAGGGATAAAATTCGCGTGCGAAAGAATTAAAAAAAAAAAAAAAAAAACAAGAAAGAAATCCGTAGAAAAAGCAAGAAGCTTCGTCGTGGACGGCTCTAAGCCTGTTATTTTCTGTGTGTGTGTATGAGAAACTGCAAATTATTTATTCCTATAGAGTCTATTCTTATAAATATATATATATATATATATATCTTTCGACTGAGTTTCGCGTCGACTTACCGAAAATAATGTTCGTATCCACATTCGTTCGTAAAACGAATAAATTGAAGGTGAAAAAAAAAAGAGATCAACATTTTTCGCTGTATATATGTATGTTTATTCTTAATAAAATTATACGGCTATCTTATATACATATATATATATGTATTATATATACATATATACAAACATATATATATATGTGTGTGTATAAGTACATTACAAAGTATAAATAAATAAGTAAATAAATAAATAAATAAATAAATATATATATGTATAAGAAAAAAAATGAAGAACAAAGATCAGCAAAAAAAGAAAAAAAGAATGGAATGTGTTAAAAGAATAGCTGCATATATGATGTTTCGAAGCACATCTGTTTAAGGAATTGTTACAGAATGATTCAATAAATATTATCTTAATACAATTTCATGCTGATAATTCATGGATGAATCGTTAAACATATACGAGAGAAGTTTTCGATTTTCGATCTCGATCCAAAAAATATTCTTCATTTATTCATCTAAGTACTTTTAACTACTCTGTACCAAATCATTGTGTACTAATCTGATTTCATTTAATATATTGACTGTTAAGCCTTTGAATCTTGGATTTTACAGTTATTATACCATCCCTCTTCGTCTCATCCCTCTTTTTCTCCTTCTCCTCTATCACTATCGGTTGATCTATATCGCGTAAAAATATCGTGGATGTCGGTGTCGGAGTTGTATTATTATTTTCTTGCATCGATTGCTGAAATCATAAAATTAATTCGAATAAGTATATATAGTTATAATAAATTTTATTAATATTCGCAATTAAATATAAAATTCTATTTATTACTATAACTGATAAAAAATGATTGCTTATCTTTAATCTTAAAAAAAGAAAAAAACCGCGAAATTACCTGCATGACGTTTAATAGGAACAGGAAAGCGAGTAAAGTCAAGGCGCTAAGTGCAGCTCCTTTGTCATTTTTACTTTTGTTACTTCTGAAAATTTATAAAAATTCGATCTAATTTTTTCTCTGATTATTACATATAAAAGAAATGAATAATGAATAAAAAAAAAAAGAAAATTATATAACAATATTTTATTTCACCCTCGTGAACCATGATAGTATCCTCCATATTCGCCGTGATGATAACCACCAGAACCATGATATCTATCAATGCCGGGATGATAAGGATCATTCAAGCCTCCGAGATTCATCAAAGATTTGAATGTCATCTGCGAAAAAGAATTGTATCATATTGGTGTATTAAGTACGAAAGGAATATTCGAAACTTTTAAACTCGTGAATTTCGCGAAAGTTGTAACATTTCGTAAATTATTTATACAATATATTATTCATCATTTAGGTTATGAAAAATTCGAAAATTCATGAAAATAGCAAAAAATCGAGTTTCGATGCATTTTTAGCATATTAAGTTTTGAAAGAATTGTTACACAGGAAAACGTAAAATTATGCAACAAAAGGATAGAAAGTTTCGAATATCTCACCTTTAGAATCGTCGAATGAAAAATTTTCGTCTTTCGCAATATGTGTACGCGAATTCTTTCAACGTCTTGTTAAAATCAGACTCGTCGAGAATTGTAGCGGTCAGTTCCTTTAAACTTTCTGTTATGCCTCGTAAATTTCTTGACGCTCATTAACGCTCATCGTCCTCGTGTCCACTGTTTACATCGAATAAATATACTCATTGTCCCGGAGGCAAGGAAAATTTTCACAATCAACGAAGTTCCGGACTCATTATTCTTTCATTCTTTCAGCTGTGTGTAATTGTACGAGACTAACGAAGCACATAAGTTCAAAATATCGGTTCAAGAAGCAAGTAGGATTTTGGTAAGTATTTCATCACTTTGTTTGAAAAATTTCATACTACATAAAGAAAACACAACTAAGAGTATAAAATTTATATGAAAATATTAAAATTCTAGAAAAAATTTTGCACCTACCTCTATTCTATTTCTGATAAAAAAGTCTGAATAAAAAGTCTCACTTCAAACTCACTCATTACTATAAATGCAGTTTGCAATTTTATTCTGAATTTGAAATTTCTAATGAGACTGCGGAGAATGACATTAAAATGATGAGGATTCTGATGCAAGCGAGACATAGGACAGAAAAATGTATTAAATATTATAATATTATAATGTATAAATATTATATTAAATATTTATATAAATATAAATCAATCTATCAACCTCGTTTGTGTTGCCACTGTGTTTCTTTTCTTAAATCCTACAAACAAAAATGTATTTCGTTCGTCGATAAGTTAGACAGCGATCAAAAAATTTTGATCAATGCCATCTCGCGTTTGGATCATCGAAGCTTCGACTTGTTACTAGCATAGCAGGATGTGCAAGGAGGTATGTAATTGACTATGACGTCACAGACAAGGAGAGCAATATTGCGCGAGAAAGATAGAAAAACTATTATTTTTACATACGCAACATTAAAAATTCATTAATTATTGATTTATTATTAAAAATTTCCGTACTTTTAAACTCGCGTCTTAAAGATAGAACTTGAAACAAGTTTCTCGTATAAATTTTAATATAAAATTCTTTCTAATTAATTATTTATTAGCAATTATCTTGGGGAATGTTACTCTCGCGAATTTTTAATCCGTGATCGAGTAAGAAATGATCGATTTATTGTTCGAATGAGAAAGAAATTATAAATGAAAATTATACGTGAAACTAAAGAAGGATATAACGTTTCAAATGCATATATTTATGTTTAGAAATTGATTCTATAATGATAAGAAAAATGTATTGAGTGCATATATGGCGCTTTAATCATTAATAAATAATTAATAGAAAAGAAATTATCGTTAAAATCCATATGAGAAAATTATCTGAGATCTTAGCTTCAAAACGAAAGTCCAAAAGTGCAGAAATTTTTAGTGAAAAATGAGTAATTAATTAATTTTCAACATTGGGTTAATTATATTCGAAAATATTAGGAGCTACATAACCAAAAATAGTGGCACGCTTTCTCCGTCTTTCTCGATAAGTGTTGCTTTCCTTTTTTATAGTATACCTCCTTGCACATTCTGCTATGCTAGTAAGAAATTGGAACTTCGGTGATCCAAACACGAGATGGCGCTGATTAAAATTTTTTGATCGGCTATCTAACTTATCGGCAAGATATACGTGTATTCTTTAATTTTCTTTGTTTTATATATCGTATATACACATATTTGAAATTACATCTCTTTGTTAACTTTGTGTAGATGTTTCAGTATAAATGGATTAAAGAAAATTCAATTAAAAGAAAATACCAGATGATTTATCAGTAAGATTGTTTATTAACTTCAATTTAAATGTCATCGTACAGCATACGTCATACATACAACTTATGTCTAAATGATACGCTAACTGAATTAAATAGATCTTGGCTATTGTGAAAAACTCCACCCGTATATGTGTATTTATGTGTATACATATATAACGCCTATATACAATGAAAAATTTTTAGCGGGTGATGAAACAAACACAATATCCTGAGATGTTAACTCGTCAAATATAAAAGGAAAGAGAATTCGAATTTCTTTGAACCTCTCCTCGAACAATAATAGAAGGAGTTAAAGAAATACGTGAAATGATTTACCAGATTTCAAACTTTCAACTATTTTAAACACATTTTCCTCCACAAAATGAAGAAAATGTCTCGTTGAATGCGGATAAGTGAAAAATTAAATATGAAGGATTAGGTCGAACATGACAACAGAAAATGAAGAAGAGGCAAGTTGAAAGAATCAAAATATATCGTAATAATTATTTGGATAATTTGGATTGAAATATAAATATATCGTAAATATTTTTAAACGGAAATTGATTTTAACGAAAAAACTTGCCTTTCCTTTACATAGTAGATTCTTCGAATCTCGATTACGCGCTAATTCTATGTCTTTCAATAAATAGAAATAAATATCATGATTATCGTAGAGATCTGTTCAAACGATACACTGGTTTGATCCAGATCTGGAATCTCATTCAGTCTACTTCTACATTAAAATGTATACGTTCCCCGCTAGCGTGCACGGCTTCTTCTTTCAGCTCTGTCACGAACTCCTTTCGCACAAATAAGGAATTCAGAAATTCTGGAAGACTTTCAGAAAGTTTCGTATAAATCGCCGCTATTGTGAATCATTAATCAACAAATTACCCTCATACAGTTTCATACAAATTCTAATTAAATTACGGTTTCATTTCGATTATATTTTTCAATTTGAAATTCGAAATTCTAAGAAAATTCGATCGATGAGACTTGGACGGTTCGTCGAACGAGAGGCTCGGGCAGAAGATGGCCATTGTGTGGTTTGGTCTCGGACACGGTTCTCGAACATAAAGCTACTCTTTCGTCGGTCTCCAGTACGATTTAACCTCAAGATGCGATATCCGGTTTAATAACAAATTCCGTAAAATTCCAATATTCTTCTTCGAAATTTCAAACGGAATCCCTCGTCGAATTTGATTTAAACAAGATCGAAAGAATTAAAAGTATCAGGTATTAATCCAGATCCATCTAAATCGTACTTGAACGGACTCGAAACAGATTTTCATACGGCGTTGCAATCCATGAACAAGGTTCTACAATCCTCGCCTGTGCGCCCACGTCGTCCAGCCTCGTACAATGCTTCGAAACCTATTCCGCTTTGTCTTTGGAGAAGATAGCTCGTCGCGTATCTTAAAAAAAAAAGAATTATTCAATTTTTCAATCGAATGGTGAATCGAATAATTAAGAAAAAAAGTATCGTTTTATAGAGAGGTTATGGTCTTACGATCCAAGTTGACAGAAGATAGATGACGTTCCTTGAGCATCCGCTACGCATTCCGCGCTCGCCTCGCAGAGGGCTCTTTCAGCACATCCACGTTGACCTTCGTCCTCGGCACGACCAACGTTGTTAAACGATTTCACTGATCTCATGTAGCCCTGAAAATAAGAAATAATAAATAAATTTGTTCACAGGTTGAAACAAAAAAAAAGAAAAGAGTAGAAACTTCCAAGATTGAGGTTACCTTTAACATGGAAATGGAGGCGACGGCAGCTTCCGAAACCGTGTCCCGTCTTCCCATTGATCTGGCCGTCAAAGAACGATGAGAGAACGATGTCTTCAATGCGTCCAATAGATTGATCACTATGCTGATGAACTGTTTTCGAAAGAAATGATTTAAATAATAAGATAATATCGTGAAATAATGTCGAAAAAAAGAGTAAATAAGGTAAAGAAGCGTCTACACGTGAAAAAGCATGTATATATATGAATATATATACATTTTATTTATTTTTTCGACTCGTCGACGTTTCGTCAAATTCTCGTTTCGTTTCAAATGTTTCAATCTCATAATTTACGCGTGAAATAATAAATCGTTTTTCGTTCTCTTTTAGTCGAAACGTCAATCAGAGAGAAAAAATTGTTCATGTACAATGTACGATCACGTACTAACCTCGGAAGCGTTTTTAGCCATAACAGCAACCTGATCGGGGTCTCTGCCCTGTCCTAGAAACGCGCCCAGCACCGCAGTCAAAATGCCCTAAACAACCGACACCAGCCATGTGCTCTAAGTTGACGTCCTCTGATGATCATTATTTACAAGAAGAAGAGTCGAGTCTGTGTAAACTTTTTTACACCCAAGCGACAGATCTTGTCGAGGAGAGTATTGTTTTTTAATTCTTTTTTTTTCCTTTTTTCTTTTAATTAATTACACGAAATCACAACAACATACGATCGATTGATTTGATTCGAATTCGTAGCATATATATATATATATTAAATCGAGAGGGAATTATGCGGTTTAGAAAACGTGAAGATCGTTAACGTGATCAGTGTTCCCTTAATTGATTAAGGGGACAGTGGAGCTCGTTAACAGGAGTAACGATTCGCGTCGTACGCCCGCTGTGATTTTTATCTAAAAATAATTTTGTAATAACAAAAGAGAAAGAAAGAGAAAAGGTAAAAACATATGTATATATATATATATATATATATATATATATAAGACGA